CAAGACCAAAGCCCGTCCCAGATATATTGTAGTCTCGGTGAATGATGAGTGGTGCTATGTGAAAAAATGTTCCGGTCAACAATTACGATCTAACTCCTACAAGATCAAAGCAAGTGAGTGTTACCGTGTTCCGACAGAAGTAACCTCTAAGCCCCAACGACAACACATCCCTGACGACGAAGACCTGGAAGATATCCCTATCTCCGAACTTGACACCACTGAGAAACTTCTCCCCCCAAAACCTGCAGGAACCGTCCCACAACATGAAGTCTCCACCTATGATCCACCTCCGATCCCAGAAGTGCTATGTACACCCCCACAGACAACCGAAGAGGCACGCGAGGAAGTGAGGGATTCAGATACAGAGGATGAGGTCCAAGGTTCCTCAAATCGCCCTCAGAGAGCAAGAAACCCTCCGTCTTACTTAAAGGACTATGTTGTATCCCTGTAAACAGTTTTCTAAATTAGTAAGAACAAGTTGATATTTAAGCATTTCTTAAAGTTTGACTTTTATTTGTACATGTTATTTTCTCAGCTAGTCTACATCTGCCACAGAGAGTGTGTTTATAATTGATTTGTGTAACTTAAACAAAAAAGAGACAAAAATGAGAGAAGAGGTTGCGCCAGTGTTTTATGTACGACTTACTAAATAACTACGAGGAACTCTTTTGTTTTAGGAGATCATTTTTGCATATTATTGTTTTATGTTTTGGAGCCAAAACTTGTTGTATAAACTCTCATCCTGTTTAACAGTTTTCCTTTATTATTAGTGTAGGAGTATATAGGAAAAATCTTTGAAAATCATGTGAAATTATCTTTAGGTAGTGTAGATTTAAGTTTATTCAAATCATGACCCCAGGGGGTAGAATGGGACCAAAATGGCCGACCAAAGTTTTACATAGGAATATATAGGGAAACTTTTAACTTCTTTTCAAGTACTTCAAAGCCATGCTTAGTAATATTTATATGGAATCATCTTCAGGAAGTGTAGATTCTAGTTCGTTCAAATCAAGATCCTCTGGGGTGTTAAAATTCAAGCCCCCACCCCCTAACCTCAGTAAACTTTAAGTTCTGATCTGATATGTGCTTTCTCCTAGCTGAATGTGCTCAGGTGAGCGCTGTGGCCCTTGGACCTCTTGTTAAAGTTTTTATGATTTACATGTTTAACTATATTTATTTTTAAATAAAAAATATATATCTTTGTTGTACTAATGACCAAGACGTGTGCAAAGTTACGATATTTACGACAAAGGCCTGAGAAAGTCCACAAGTGAAATCGACATGATCGAGAGGGGAAGTCAAAACGACAGGAATGCCGACTGGCACTCCGTTAAAACAGCCAACCGACAGAAATTTTTAACATTTTAAAAAATGCCGACATCACATTAAGGCCTACAGATACATTCTCGAAAGCGGTCCCTAAACATGCCAGCCTAGAGCTCCGTTCGAAGTGTGTGGTCGACGTTCCAGTAGCAGTGAAAAAGCGAAAATGTAGGTTTCCAATGCTTTCAAACTTATTGGAAATAGCAATGTTTATGCATTATAGATACAAAAGTTTCAATATATATACATAGTATACATAGCAGAAACATGTTACATACATGTACGGTACGTTAGGCCTAAGGGGTCTTCAGATGCGTGTAAAGGACAGCATTCGTATTATCTTTTTTATTGCAACTTTAGCTCGTAGTATATGATAAATTTCCTCTGATATTGTAAATTCAGAATATCTATCCCAAATTTATAGACATACCATACGAAAATAATAAGATAGCATGATTCTATAATTTTTAGCTGTTTACATTCGATAAGAAACTAGGTCGCTTCATTCTATGACGGCCTAATGTACAGGCTTGGGTTCATAAAAACAAAGTCAGATAGGCAAAATAATTATTTTACATTTTTGAACAATGATATTACCAGTCATTATAATCATGTTTTCCTTTTTTTCAGGAAAGTCTTGTTGTCACAAGAATAAAAAATGAAGAACTTTAGAAGAGAGAAGGGTTTTAGAACCACTAAAATCAGATGGAAAAAACCATGCAAATCAGATTGAGAAAGTGGCACTGGATTTGACCAATCCAACGCCACAAACTAGTACCAAATCCGGAACCCGCAGGGCAAGAGAAAGAGAGGACATCCAACAAACCATTATGAAGTTTTTATTTGTTAAATGATTACTTTTTTGTTCATAAAAAGCTTTTCATAACAAAAGTACAATCATTACCTGAAATTATCACACTGATTTTGAATATTTGGTGAATAAAATCACATACTTTGACGCCTAAATGCCTTGATTCATTTTGATTAAATGCTGAAAAGAAATAGGAGTTGGGATATAAAAAATATTAAAACTTTCTTATATGTACACTAACCCCTACTTTTCATGCTATGAAAAGGAGCCATAATACCTAAAGAAACTGTACAACAATTTTCTTTAAAAGTTTAATTGTATGTAGAAATATGTTTTCTTTGTTTTTTCGAGCAATTTAAAGGGAAAAAAATTGCTTAATTTTGACACTGGTGAACAACATTTTTTGATACAAGTTATTTAATTGGTATTTGTTTGCTCATTATTTTGCTTTTAAAAAAATCAACTTTGCAATACTTTCAAGTAAATCTAAACAAAATTAAGTTTAAATTGATTGTATTTATAAATTTATGTGGTATTTTTGATGTAATAGCATTTTTTATGAAATTTCCCATGCTCTATTTTGGCCTATGTTCGAAGGGTTGAATCTCTTAGATGAATACTAACATACACTTTTCTTATCTTTACAATATTCCTTGGATATGACACTTTCAGAAAAAATATAAGCATGTGGAAAGTTTAATGCACGTTTTTTTTTGGGTATGAGAAGAATAGTTAGAATACATCCTTAAAATAAAGTTTAGAAAATAAATATCAAATTACTCTTAGTGTGAATTTATAACCATTTTTGTTGTCAAGGTTAAGAAAAAATAGAGAATTTTTAAGAAGACAGAGGAAATTCAGATTGTCATGGAATGTTGTTGGAATGTAATATCTATGAGTAAGAAATAACAAGATGAAGTTGATCTGTTATCCTATTTCATACATGAAAATAAATAAATTCTGATTATTATTTTGTAAGTTTCTTGATCCTTTTTAGCTCTACTGGTCAGAGACCAGAAGAGCTTATGCGATAGTAATGCGTCCGGCGTCCGTCTGTCTGTCTGTCTGTCCGTCTGTCTGTAAACAATTTTTCAAAATGCTACTCCTCCTACAGTTTTGGTCTAATTTCAATATAACTTGGCACACAAGTAGACTACACTAAGATACATAATTCTGTGTATCGGTTTTTGATTTCGATGAACGGTGTTGCCGTGGTTACTAAAAATAGAAATTTCTGTGAAATTCTTTCAAAATGCTACTCCTCCTACAGTTTTGGTCTGATTTCAGTATAACTTGGCACACAAGTAGACTACACTAAGATACATAATTCTGTGTATCGGTTTTTGATTTCAATGAACGGTGTTGCTGTGGTTACTAAAAATAGAAATTTCTGTGAAATTCTTTCAAAATGCTACTCCTCCTACAGTTTTGATCTGATTTCAGTATAAGTTGGCAAAAAAGTAGAATACACTAAGATACATAATTCTGTGTATCGGTTTATGATTTCGATGAACGGTGTTGCCGTGGTTACTAAAAATAGAAATTTCTGTGAAATTCTTTCAAAATGCTACTCCTCCTACAATTTTGATCTGATTTCAGTATAACTTGGCACACAAGTAGAATACACTAAGTTACATAATTCTGTGTATCGGTTTTTGATTTCGATGAACGGTGTTGCTGTGGTTACTAAAAATAGAAATTTCTGTGAAATTCTTTCAAAATGCTACTCCTCCTACAGTTTTAGTCTGATTTCAATATAACTTGGCAAACAAGTAGAATACACTAAGATACATAATTCTGTGTATCGGTTTTTGATTTCAATTAATGGTGTTGTCGTGTTACTAAAAATAGAAATATCTGTAAAATTGTTTCAAAATGCTACTCCTCCTACAGTTTTGGTCTGATTTCAATATAACTTGGCACACAAGTAGAATACTCTAAGATACATAATTCTGTGTATTGAATTTTAATTTTGATGAACGGTGTTGCCGTGGTTACTAAAAATAGAAATGTCTGTAAAATTGTTTCAAAATGCTACTCATCCTACAGTTTTGGTCTGATTTCAGTATAACTTGGCACACAAGTAGACTACACTAAGAACATAAAGAGACTTTATCAACGATCATTATTTTATTTAATGCTGTTTATAAAGTTTCAAATCCCAGCTGCTTAAGTACTTTCTCTTCCTTTGCTATAAGTTCAAATCAGTAGAGCTTCAGTCTCAACAGAGACTTCTGGTTTTAACTGGCATTGATACTTTTTTTTTTTTTACTGTCAGTGGGAGTTTTTCACAGATTTTACATTTTTGAATAAGGGCATATTCAGAGGTTGTTGCCATGGAAACGAGCGCATTAACGTAAAAAAATTTTTGTTGATTCTTAAATCACAAACTTGTCCTTTATCCGAAGGTATCCATCTTTTAAAATTCCAATTACTTTCATGACACATTCGAATCACCTTAAGTTTAACTTAAGCACTGCTTTGAAAATATTTGAGATGACCATATAGCTACTACAGCCCCTATTTGACTTTCTCCGTAGCAACAGACATAATCTTTTTAAGCTATTGGATTTTTGTATTCTTATTTGCTTAAGGATTAAGAGTATCTTGTATCAGAGCATGAACAAAATGTTATCAAACGTTTTATTCATGCGAAGTTTCCAATAGTGTCAACAATGGTTCTGAACTTCATCCGCATGTGATCACAACAGCGTGGATAAGCTTCTTGTGTTGTGACCTTTTAAGAAAAGAAATCTTTCTCCTTCTATTAACCATGCCTATAGATAAGATTTGAGATAGTTAATATAAAATACCGCAAATATACCACTAATTTAAGTAAATAAGTAAGAACTTAATTAATTTACAGATGATTTGCAGAAACATAGAGAAGAAATGCAAGGTATGTCAATTTTACAAATTTTGTTATGTATACAGGGTTATTTTCGCTCCGTGTTATTTTCGCCCTTTCACACTTGAAAACAATTTTGTCCCGTTTTATATTCGCCCAGTCACAGTTTTGTTTAAGAAATTATACTGTGTTCTTTGAATTCGCCCCGTTTTAAATTCGCCCAAAGAAGGATAGGGCGAAAGGGGCGAAAATAAAACGGGGGCGAAAATTTCCCTGTATACAGTATACATGTTGATCATTTTGAGGAAAGAAAGATTTACTTTTATACCCTCACGTTCTAAGGGAAGTTCGGGCCTATTGTGATTACTCATATCCGTCTGTCCGCGTCAAGCTCTTCTTCCCTGAACACCTCCTACATTTTACACAGTAGCTTAATCTTTTGGGAGAAAATTGGTGCTGCCATGTGGATGTGCAGTAATGTTTCTGAATTTTCTTGTTCGCCCTTGGGGTCAAATGGGGGTCGAAAATGACGTTTTGCATAAGCCCCTGGTTCCCTGAACTCCTCCTACATTTTACAACCTAACTTACTCATCTTTTGGGAGATGCTCTGTAGATGTGCAATAGTAATGTTTCTGAATTTTCATTTTCGCCCTTGGGACCAAATGGTTTTTTTTAACGTTAAATTCCCCTGGTTCCCTTAACTTTTACAACTTGTATACACAGAAGCCTAATCTTCTTTTTGGAGTTGGTTGGTTGAGGCATGTGGATGTGCAGTAAGGTTGCAGAATTTTTGGGAGGAGAGTAACGTGTCAGAAACCCTTGGCTTTAGCGAAGATCATACGTGTAATGATTTATACACCACACTGAACAATGTGCATTATGTTCAATATAAAATTATATTGGTAAACCTAGGGTGACACAAGCCTTATATGATTTAGAAATTTTCAAAAAAATGTTCACATGCATGTAGAGTAAAAGAACAAATTTTAAATTATTACATTAAACGATGTTTAAACGTATGCCATATAGGCCTATTTTTGAAAGCTTTGACAAGTTTGTCCTAAAATAATATAATTTTGTTATTGGGAAAAAAAGTTTAAAGATCCAATCATGTGCCAAAAATTTATATCCCCCTTTTATTAAAACCTGTTTAACATTAAGTAAAATTAAAGTAATTTCTATTATTTCCTCACATGGTCACCTGAGCATTTTATGCTAGGTTTGACGAATACATATACTGTGTAAATTTTAAAATTAGATTTTGCCCAATAAGAAGGGGTGTGCATTTAGAGACAAACATCTTATAAAGGGTTTTACCGGTCATGACAGCATCTAGTTTTTTATACTCCCGTAAACGAAGTTTTGGGAGTATAAAGTTTTTGTCGTGTCCGTCTGTCTCTCTGTCCACAAAAATGTTAACTTTGCTCATAACATTTGATTTAGTAGAGCTATGACTTTCATATTTCATATGTGTATTTCTTGTGAAAAGACCTTTCTTTTGGTACCACCAGATATGACCTTTTGACCTTGACCTTGGAGTTTGACCCACTTTTACACAAAAATTCCCAGTTTTTACTTTGGCCATATCTTTTGAACAGTAGGAACCAGGACATTAATACTTCATGTATGTATTTTGGGTGGCAAGTCCTTTAATTGCGTACAAACAACTTTGACCATTTGTTTTTCTTGTAAAAAGGCCTTACTTTAAGTACCAACATATTTGATCTGCATTTGAGAAAGCTTAACCTTCGCTATGTTGCCATACGAGGGCATCAGTGTTTCACAAACACATCTTGTTTTTGTATGCTATGTTCCTTGGAGCTCTTTCTTTAAGTTTCTTGACAAATTATTAGTCGCCCAAGTGGTGCAGTGGTTAGACACATAATTAAGGTTAACCCATTCAAAGCTTATTGATGAAAACCGGTTGATACGAGTACACAAACAGCATAAACCGGAATTATTTAAGGAATCACTTTCTTCTTCAAATCGTCGCACGCGTGGTGCAGTGGGTAGAGCGTCTGCTCTAGAGTCGCGAAGTAAGGAGTTGGTTTTCACGTCGCGGGTTCGAATCCCCCGGTGGGACGTGGATTCCGATCGTGTGAAAATTAGCGACATCAATCAACCAAACTTGTAAGAGATTTATTAGGACCCAAAGTGTGAAAATTAGCGACATCAATCAACCAAACTTGTAAGAGATTTATTAGGACCCGACACTCCAAACCACACTTCTAGTAGATATGATTTTTTGCATAGAGCAGATTAATATCTGATTTGAATTATGCAAGTAGTTGTAGAGTGTTTCGGCTATTAAGAAGCCTCATCGGGGATCACGGACATAAATCATGGTGTTTGTTTTAGGTGAGACCGGATTATCTCGTCACCTATATTCTTGTGTTTGCTGTAAGCAATGATTGGTTGAGAATTAAATAAAGTTTTGCATTCTGGATTTCTAAGAATGGTGTTCCAATATTTTAGAATTCGTTTTTTCAGTCCTTTAACGCAAGGGTTAAATTTAGTAACCAGTACTGTAGGGTTACGTAATGACTGTTCTTTAGTCTTTTTGATGATGAGTTTTGATCGGTTTGTGTTGACCGTTTCCTTGATAATAGGATCAATTTCCGAAGTAGAGTAGCCTCGCTTTGATAAGTGCGTCTTGAAGTCATTAAGTGTTGCATGTAATATTTCAGGGTCAGTGGTGTTTCTTGCATGTCTAATGCATTCTTCTTTAATGAATCCTTTAAACACAGCTGGGCTATGAGCGCTCTGTGTGTGTAGATATTGAAAGTTATTTGTTGGTTTGATAAACGATTTGATATCAAGTTTGTTAAGATTTTGAAATTTCGGTCCCTTGTAAACTGTAGTATCAAGGAAGTTTACGGCAGATGGAGAAATTTCAAATGTAAATCTTAGATGCTTGTGACAGTGATTGCCGATATTGAAGAATTCTTCTATCTCTGATTGCGTTCCATTGAATATTATGAAACCGTCATCACGGTATCTGCCGTGGAAGACAATTTTGCTGGCATGACGAAATTGTGCCATTAAATGCTGTGTGATTTCGTACATTCTGATGTCACAGATCTCTGGACTGGGGACTGCCCCCATACTTGCTCCAATTATTTGTTTGTAATATTTTCCATCAAACTCAAAGTAATTGTTTTCCAAGACGCATTTCAGTAAAAAGTTTAAATCCTCAGGGTTAGGATATGGAGTGTCAAGTTGCGTTTTGTTGGCCTGTGTGTAAGCCTCATTCACTGAAGGAAGAAGTTCGTTGAATACCATGTTTGTGTACATGCTCGTCACATCATAAGTAATTAATAATGCGTTTGTTGACAATGTGAGGCCTTCGATTTTGGTGATAAAGTCCGTAGTGTCTTTGATATAAGTTGATTGTTTTTGTACAATGGGTACAAGAAAGTAATCGCAATATTGTCCTATTTTCCTCGTTGGCGTATCGCATTGCGAGATAATTGGTCGACCAGGTGGTAATTCCCTAATGCTGCACTGACCGTTTATTAGAGCATTGTAAATGTTTGCTGGTATTTTGTGGGTTTTCGGTAAAAGGTACAAATGCCCACATTTGAGTGAAGGTTTTTTGTCATTAAGAAATTTGTAAGTTTCTTTGTCCAGTGACCCATTTGAATGCATTTCGGCAAGTTTATTTTGGATGTTTTCATGCAGTTTGAGCATGTTGGGTTCAGATACTTGCCTATAGTGTTTAGATTGCAGTTGGCTTTGTGCTTCTAAGACATACTGGTCTTTGTTCATGATGACAATTGTGTGGCTTTTATCTGCTTTTTTAATAACAATGTCGTTGTTATTTTTAAGAGATGAAATAGCTTCTCTTTCAGCATTTGAGATGTTTGATCTCTTTTTTGCAATTTCCAAAGAGGAAAGTTCCAATTTTGTTTTATCTATATATTCCTCGAGTTCGCTGCATGTAAATGGCGGTTTGTAGCCAGATTTTGTGTTAAAGGGGTGAATGGCATTGTCGTCTCCGGTATCAAAGTGGAAATTGCATCTGAGTTTCCTGGCAAATTCTTCAAAATCTTTGAGCAGCAGGCTTTTAGCATTGTCGCTTTTAGGCGTTGGAATAAATTTTAAGCCTTTGCTTAGAACTGAGAGTTCATGTTCGGATAAGTTGTATCTTGATAGATATAGAACAAACTTTCCCCCTGTGGCCGTAGTTTCCTTTCAGTGAGCTTTAACTCCCCGTAAATAATTACGAGTGCGTTTAGCATTTTTGCATTGTTTACTCCGTCTATTTATTCGTCGAGCCATTCAAATAGAGGAGCAGTAGGTGGTAAATATATTGTATATAGCGAGGCGCTATAGATCAACAATGAGTATTTCGATGAGATAATGAATCCGTCTAATTATCAGTAAGTGTTGATAGATTAGAGGATAAGAAGAGTATGTGGCTATAAGAAACCGATAGTCAGATTCCGATGATTCGTTATGGTCACGTGCAAGGGGCGGTGTTTGTTTAAGAGCTGGTCCAATGGGTGGCTAATGCACACCAATTTTATAGTAATTAAATCCTGTGGATCTTAAGCCGTCTGATATACATAGTGTTATAAAATGAGGCTAAAATAAAGATCCGTCTTAATATCATATGATGATAATAAGAGGATTAATATTTCACATGACTGTCCAAATCCTGAATGAATTCTTCCTGGTTTAAGCTGATCTGGTCCTTCAATATATCCTAGTATTCACAATCAGATATTCTCGTGGTTTTCTTGCATTGGTACAAAGTAATTGAATGAAGGGCACTATTGTATGTGTATACTTGAGCAAGCCGAAGTATTTGATTATAAGAGAAGCGTAAAAGACGATCTTTGAAGTAGCAGTTCAATCCTTTACAAACATGTGCTGATTTGGTAAAGGAAGTGCTGGTAATAAAATGTCTTAGGAGACAATAGAAGCAAAGAGTGTGGTCGGATTGTTGGATGACCAAATAAACCACACAAGTCGATCGCTGTCCAAGGGAGGGCGATGCACAGGATGATACCGGTGGGACATTGTCCCTAGTCAAAGTGTGAAAATTA